CCCCAAAACCCCAAAACCCCAAAACCCCAAAACCCCAAAACCCCGACTGACAATATTTAGATTGAATAGTTTTTGCAAACTTTATGGTATAAAATTGGAGATTATTTAGGGGAAGTTCACTAAATTTTATATTTTTAGGAAATTGCTTTGAATGTGGAGATTTAGAGGGGTCTAAAGGTAGATGAGGTAGGTAATATAGGGTTGTTGGTGGGGTTGATGAAGTGATAAGGCTTGGAAAAAGGAGAACTGCGTGATTTAAATTAATTTAAAGTTGTTAGAGAAATTTCTAAGCCAAATAAGTATCTATTAATCTCAGATTCTTTGAAATCGTTTGAAATCTAGTTGGGTTGTTTATTTTATTTAAAGTTTAGAATAGATTTTTGCCATTAATCAAAGAAGATTCTAACAGGAGGTACTCCTTCGAGTATTTTATCTCCATCTTCTTCAAGAGTACAAGTAATTCTGAGATCAACATGTTCTCCTTCTTCAGATTCTGTTAAATCAAGGAGAGTGCTATTTAGTGTCTCCTCTTTCTGTTTCTCTTTACCAGCAATGTCCATGATAGATTGGAGATACAGGGTCTGATTACCGAACATCACATCTCTTACATAGAGTTTATACTTCTCAAGAATGTAATCAAAGAGACCTTTCAAGGTAATATTTTTGTCTTTAATGTCCCATCTTGTCCACAAATCAACCTCTAATTCCTCAGTCAGTTTGGTCTTTTTGGCTGGTCCTCATTCACTACCCTGAGCAAAAGGAAGTGCAAGATTCATATAGTAGTTTCTAAATTCCTCCAGTTTCTCACATTTCATTAATTTCAACAACTCAAGAGTTTGCATTCCTGCTACAGCAGCTGTTGTAGTTGCGAGGGCTGGGATAATTCTACCAGCTTTAAGTTTCACGTCTAACCAAGTACTTTCCTTTAGCTCATAATTATGGCATCTCAGGTTAGAAATTGAGAATATAAAGTCAACATGATAGTTAGAGTCCATGTCTTTCTCAAATTCTTCTACCTGCATATGACTTTCTCCTTCCTTAAGTCCTGGGAGTATAACATCAAGGTGGCCTTTAAGCTCCTTCACGAGCTCTTCAACATTAGTTTCATCTTGCTCTTCAACTTTTTCTTCTTCTTGGTCTTCCTTATTCTCTTCCTTTTCCACTAGAGATTTGATCTCTTTTGCTTCGGACTCGTCTGGCTTGAACTCTTTAATCTGGTACTTGAGTGCCTTCAGTGCAATATCTTTCTTGGTGTCTGCAACCCTTGTTTCTTTATAAGGAATCTTTATCTTGTGGGCCACTGCATACAGACAGGCTCAAGCAGCGATGAAGTTGTAGTGCATCTCTTTTTCTGGGTCGAAAGTTATGTCATGAGGAGGCCTCTTAGGCAACGTCCAGAATGGCTTCCCGTCTTTGGTCTTGGTGTCGAGAGGATAGACGTAGAGGAGTTGTTTGATGTTGTATGAGAAGTATTCATTAAATTTCTCCCGGGCGATCTTGATACAGTCGTCGAAAGTCTTAGGAGCATCCTTCAGACTAGCAAGTACTTGTTTTAGACTTGAGATTTCCTGAGATGTCTGAGGGTAGAAGGATTTATCCTCTGTGATTTTGTTCACCTCTTGTGGAATTTGAGTGAAGAGGTTCGTGAAAATATCTTTTCCCCATTCAATACAATGAATTGACTCTTCAGGGAACATCTTTAGAGTACAATGAGGGATTTGGTTATTATCTTCTGGATCATTTTGAGATGAATAGCTTTCAGTCTTAAAAGGAATGATTACTTGAGTATTTCCTTTAGGGCCTAATGTTCCTCCTTCTATCAGTGGGGTCCTAGCCATCACTCATCTTCCATCAATATATCTTCTTGCAGCAACATTATCGAGAGCATTAGTAACTGCAGTAAGGTTTTCAAAGAATGAGTCTGTGAAAATATGTTCAGAGGCTTCATGAACCTTATCTAACCTAGCCAAAATATTTCCTTTCAATTCAGGGTTCATGTTAATAGCAGCAGCTGCAGCAGTAGATGATTTAGATTTCTGAATATGTTTCTTTCTAAATAAGAATTGACGATTCAAATTTGAATTTTCAATGTGATCAGGGTCTGTTAGCACAATTCTTCCAGATTTGCTATCAGAATCTTTCTTTCCAGTTCCAATTCCAAGCATTGCGTAATTTTTCAGAAGCTCTCATCCGATAGCTCCAGCTCCAACCATAAAGACGTTTGAATATTGAATCTTTTTCAGCAAGGTTCCTCCAACAACAATTCTTAGACCATCATATCTATCTTTCAAAGGAACAACTTCTAATTTCTTGACGTTTTCTTCAAAGTCCTTCTCAATTGTGATATCTGGGCAAATTTCAGTACTATTAAAGTAGAAGAACTGCTTAATTGGAGAATATTTCTGCGTCATTGCCTTTATCAATTCCTGAGCCAAGAATCCTCCAATAAATGCTCATAATGGGTTGAAACTACCCTGACATGTGAAGCAGAACAAAGATATTATTTTCTTCCAAGTCTCATCGATTTCATTTTCAAGCCTCTTTGCAATCGGCTCTATGAGCTCAAAGAACTCTTCATGATCCTTCATATCCCATGGGTTTGGAATTCTGTTATTTTTCTCAATGAATAAATCAAGAGCTTCAAAGCAAGCATGTGATACTGAGATGTGTCCCATTTTCTCAAAATCTGCTATAGACATGTTGTCATCCAGAGGAATTTCTGGGCTTTCTAAGCTATCTTTCAGATTTTTGAATTTGAAGGTAACAGGAACTTTGACTTGAGTAATCTTTCCATTTCTTTTATATTCCTCAAAGATAGTAGTGTCTCCAATCTTAAAAGCGAAAGGAGAAATGACTTCAATTTTATGGATAGTCTCGTTAATATTAGAACTCTTAAATCCAGAATCTTCTCCTTCCTTTAGATTCATGCCAATGACTTCAGTAATCGCAACCTTGTCTCCATCAACTAAGTCATGTCTCTCAGTGTCTAGCACTTCAACTACACCTTTCTCTTCATTTGAGATAGACTTGATCCATCTCTCCTTAAGGTCTTCTCCATCTTTATCTAAAACAATGAATTCATCTCCAAAATCATTAAATATCCTAGCAAATGGCCCAAAGACATCGAAGTAGATGAACTTGATGCCTCTCTTTCTACAGAACTCATTAATGGCAACAGCTGTCTTATAACTGCACTGGCTGAGACAGACGATATTGTATTTATCAAATCCAAGCTCCAGCATATCTTCTTCTGTCTGAGGTAGTTCAAAGGTCTCAGCATTACACTTCACATAATCATTTAGCTGCTGCAAACGCTTAATTGAAACAGTTGCTCTGTTTTTGCCAATATCTTTTTCATGAATAAAGAACTGCCCACTAAGATCAATGTGAGTAGCTTGTCTTGTATCATGTAGAGTGAAGCTCTTTCATCCAGCTAAGACAACATTCTTAGAGACTTCAATACCTGCTGGAGAAGCTCCGCTAAGGAAGACTCTTGAAGTAGCCTGTTTTGCCACTGCTTCTATTCCCATAGCTCCGATATATCTTGACCATCTGTCTTTGACATCATCTTTATCAACATTGATTTCACTAGTGGTGACAATTGTTTCTTCTTCAGAGTCAATATCAATGTTGTCTAGTCTGGCAGCTCCTTCATCGATCTCCTTTTTCACTTTTTGGGTTTTCTTATTTGCCTTCTTAGTCTGAGGGATGAGATCTTTGCCGGAAGGTTCAGGGAGTTTCTTCAGCTCCTCTTCGAGCTCTTCAACAATCTCAGTAAGCATCTTTTTGTAAGTCCCCTTGTGTTTGAACTTGTTGCACCAGTTGTAGTTATGGTCACTGACCAAACCAGTGTAAAGAGCTTCATGTTCCTTGGCTTCTTCGATCCATTTTCTACAGTCTCTCAAAATTTCATCCTTTTTGAGATAGAAGTGTCTTCTAATGATGGTCTTGAATCCTTTTGGAGGATTTTTGATCTGTTCAAGCATGGCATATTTGATGTTTCAGTATTTAATGATATTGGAATATCCTTCATTCTTCCTCTCTCCATCTGGTGTTCCAGCTTCTCCTTCAAATCCTGGTTCATTAAAGTAAATTTCTTCACTCATGATGATAGCTTGTGTTGACATTAAAACTTGCAGGATTGTACTGATCTTCGGGTCCCAGTTTTCTGTAGCATTTCCTCTCCAAGTTCCTAATAAGGAGAGGCATACCTTTCCACAAGCATAGAGATTTGGATTAAATCTGACCGCAGAAGATCCAGTAGTTGTCAAGTTCATCTTTGGAGGATCTTTTGGATAGTTCTGATTGCAGTAAATATCAAATTCAAATGCTCCATGAGCATATGGAGTTCCTTCTGCACCCATTACCAAAGCTTTCATCAGATCGACTCTGTTTTTATCCACTCTTACAAAGATGGCATTAGTATGATCTATTGGCAAAGCTGTTGAGAGATCAGCCAATTCTTGAGCAAGTCTATTTATTTTTGATGAGCTAACATTCTTAGAGTAATTCTTGATATAATGATGAGAATAGCTTCCTTTCTTATCTTTCATATCCATATGATCAAATCTTAAATTCTTTAACAGCATGGGATAGCTTTCCTTTAAAGGTAAATGAAGAGCATTTTCATAGAAGTCTTCATCATTATCATAGGCAAGTCTGTCAACTACCTTCAAAACTACTTTATGAGTCTTCTTGATCTCCTTGATTAAGATTTCAGAGTCCTTCTCTGTTTCTGTGGTTGGCTTTGAGTGTAAGCAGTTGTTATAGATATTAGCGAGATCGTTAAGTTTTCCTAGGAGCTTATGAATTGGTTCTATCTGTTTCGGTTTATACTGAGATCCAATATCAATTAATAAATTGCAGAGAGCTTTACTCTTTGCAAATACTCTTACTAATCTCAGATAGGAAATATAGAGTTTATTGTACTTCACCATATCCAATAAGGAACCTGTTCTAAAAGCGTTTTCAATAAGAGGCAATAATCATGAAACAAGGATATCTTCAACAATATCTTTATCAGGTTCCCAATCCTTAGTCCTGAAGAAGTTAGCAAGAATCTCAATGAGATATGAAATCTGTTCATTCTTCACCTTCTTGTTTTTGATATACTGCGAAACATTCCATGTTTTTCCGACTCCAGTAGTGTATCCAACTCCTTTCCTCTTCTTCTTTTCATAATTCTTGATTTTCTTCTTCTCTTCATAATTCTTGTCTTTCATCTCTTTGCCATCATTGTCTTCATTCTCTACAGTAGTAACAGTAGTTTCTGAGCGATCATCTTCTCCTTCCTCAGTCTTATCTTCTTCGTAAGTCCTGCTAATTTCTCCAGTGACTTCTCTTAATCGGATTAAGATCTTCTCTATGAGACCATTTTCAGCAGCTTTATCTCTGATAGTTTTATCTTTCGATGCCTGGAACATTTCCTTAATGATCTTGTAGGTTTGCTTCACTGCTTCAACCTGCTTTTCACTCCAGTGCTGAGAATTTCCTGTCTCTTGGTCTGGAACTCCAGCTAAGATTTCGAACAGAAGGTCTTTAAAGTGCTTATCTTTCATGAAAAATTGGAAGAAGAGGGGTAACTTAGTGAAGCTTTGCAACTCCAAAAGCCAAAGTCCCCATTTCATTGAGAGCTCCTTGTTCTTCCATGTATCCTTTACTGATTTCTGAGTGATAGTGATCAATTCAGTGACTCCATTTTCCTTCTCAAACATATTGAAGATTCCCATGTGAGGGATATACTTCTTGGATGAGTTAGCTTTTATACTCTTGTTCTGAGTCAGCCTATATTTTAGAGAATTGAATGTTACTTTGTGGTTGCTTTGTCTACGAACTCATCGAATGAGAGGGTTAGATCAAGAATATTATCCTTTGCCCCCATCTCTTTTTGGCGTTTATAAATCTCATCAAGTTTTCCTCCATTATATCTAGTGGCGATTCTGCTGTTAAATCCAAAAAGATCATATGAAAGTTCCTCAAGTGTCTGATTTTCGGCAACTAAAGTATGATTATTAGAAACTTACCGAAGAAGCAATTTTCTTTAAAGTAATTTAACGATTCGGTCTGATAATACTTCTCCATCAGGTTATTATACAAAGGTTGGATAGGATTTGCTTGAGGATTTTGGCTGGCAGGATTAGAATTGTTTTCTTTCATTCCTCCAAGTTCATAAATAGTAAACTTCTCAATCTTGAAGTCCTGCAATGGAGCGTATCCCTTAGAAATTTGTATTTCCGAATGTGAATCTTTAGTAATCATTCCGATCCTCGAAAGTGACACTTTGTGCTTTAAATTGACGAATCCTTGAGCAAAGTTTACTTCACCTGCTTTAACATTCTTGAAATCAATAACTGGTTTGTCTTCTTTCATCTGGAAGCAATAGTACTCATTCTTCCCAAGAATTGCGAAGCAGAAGTGGTCATCACTTGCATTGGTTAAGTACTGTTCATCTTTATGGTACACTGCATTTCTATTATAGATTCCAAAGTATCAGCTATCTCCGATCTTCTTAGAAGTTCCTTCAAAAATGAAGAAGAGAGATGTCTTGTTTTCGATAGTCATAAGCATGTCCTTGAAAGAAGCAGTCCCTTCCTTTTTAGAGAGGAAGATAGGCTTCCAATCTGAGATGATCAATTTCTGAGAGTTATAATCTCTTCCTACTACTCTCTCTAGATGAGGGATGATGTTTGAGTAAAGAGGATAGGACAGGAAGTTATCAACTTTTGGAGAATCCCTACACTCTTCAATAGCATTAGTGAAAGTATGGAAGGTCTGCATCTTTTTATCATAGAAATCAAATGAGATAGAAACTTTTTGCTCAGCTTTTAAGAGTGGAGTAAGAATGTTATTCACAAAATCAATGTCCTTCTTATCTTTTAATGGTTCTAAGTCTTTGATGATTCTCTTAGCTAGAGCATTTTCATTATCTTCAAATCCTAAAGTGAGCTTTATAATCAGCTTAATCACTAATCTCTTGACGTTTAAACTCAGTTTATGCGGATGTGTAGAATTTGCTTGAGTAACAACCTCATATAGTTGAATGCCAACATCTCTACTTGCAACTTTTGATCTGAAATGTTCATTATGTAATCAGTTGGTCCAGAAATCTAAGATAGTAACTAGTCTTCCTTCATCAATCTCTTTCTCAGTCTCAGATTCTTTGATAATCGTGACAATTTGCTCAATCTTTACCTTCTCAGAGATGAAGCTTAGTAGATCATCACTACACTCAGTATAGTTGGCAATGATAGCTGAAACCACACTACTCTTCACCTCGAAATGACCATCATCCAACAGATAGTTCTTGATAATATCCTCTTGAGTGAATCAGCTCTTTTCAGATCTAATCTCTCCATATACAACAAATGGAAGTATAAACTTTAGAAGGAACTTATTTCATTGATTTTTAGCTATGAATTAGCCAATTTTACTTACTCTTTTCATCTTGAATTTCAGATGACTCTAAAAGAAGAGTCAACAAGCATTTGAAGTTGTTCTCTGAGATCACTAAGCACTCTGAATGCTTTTTGTCTAAAGAGTTAGAATTATCTAGTTACTTTTAAAGATCTGGAAATCAAGCTGCTTCTTCTCCTCAAGCTCTTCAGTTGTTAGCACTTGGCTTCACCAGTCTTCAATTTGCAGATTCTTGCAAAATATATTTACCAGATCCATAAAAATCCTCATAAAAGATTCCAATTGGAGGAAGTCTTTTGGCAATTTTTCAGGATTTTTCTGTGCTAATTCACAATGCTCAAAAATGAAGCTCTGGACAATCTTAAGTCTTGGAATAAATTCTTTCGGATTTCACTTAATCAAATCATACAGTAGAGAAACTTGGCTATTATTTCAATGGATATCTAACAATTTCTTGATTATCCAATCTCCAAGCTCTTTGTTATACTCCGTAAACATCCTGAGGATCTGAGCAATTACATGTGAGACTGCTTTATCATCAATGACCTCAAGAATATTATTAAGGTTACTCTTTAAGTATTCGACATAATTTGGATCTTTTGCAATCATTTCTAAGATATTCTTGAATTCTCTCTTAAATAGAGCTGATAAGACTTTGGAAGAAGTCGATCTCTTCAAACTGTCAATCGTAGTCTTAATATTTCCCACATTATTCAAGTCGTATCCCATAATAGAGCAGAAGTTGATTCCTAAAGATTTCGGCTTGATATATTTTGAAATCAAAGGAGAGTTCTCCAAGCAAGTGATAGAGTTACTTCTCATTCTAAATTTTATATATCTTGCTTTTAGAGATTGAAGGGAGTTGAAGTTGGATTTCATTAATTCTGAGAGATCCTCATTTTGACTCTGCTGATTAAATGCATATAGATTTAATCCATATACAGTAGTTCCGAAGTTAGCAAATCCTTTATCGTCAAGTTTCTTCAAACTTCAGACAGCATTCGTCTCATTTTCTGTTAATCCAGTTTCAACAATGACACTGCTTGGCTCAATATACACCTCTGAATCAACTGTCCAGAAGTTGGTGAATCCAACTTGGATTTCCTTGATTTCAATGACTCTGTTCAGTTTGAATACCATCCAAATCTCATTTTCTTTCTCTGACTCAAACTTCTTGAAAACAATTCTTTGTCTGTATCCTTTCTTGTTGACAGACCAATCAAGATTATTTGTGAAGTCTTTTCCCTTCCCAAATTGGGAGTCAATCAGAGTCATAGTCCTTGCAAATTCATTTGGAACAAAGTCTCCACTTGTTACTTTTCTGAAATTTTGACCTTTAATTGATATATGGTCTTCTTTCTTGTTCTCCTTCTTGTCATTATTGATTTCTTGTTCCTCTCTGAACTTGTTGGAGACGTATTCGAAAAGCTCATCGTTTAGAAGATCTTCTTCAAGATCCTGTTCTTCATCAGGCAGATCTTCTGTAAGAGGAATAGTCTCCTCAACCTCGTGCTTTGATGTAATAATCTTCTCTTCTTCATCATCCTTCTTGTGATGTGTTTGAATTTCAGTACTCTTAGTGTTAGACAAGAGTTGATTTAGGAAATAGTCAAGCCCATTCTGATTAAATACAAAGTCATTTACTATCTCCTCTGAGACTAACAGATATTCACAAATTGAAGCTAAAATGGAATGAATAGATTTCGCCTTAGAAAAAGCAAGTGCTAAGGGAATTTTCCCTTGATCGATTAGTTTCTCAATACTCTTCATAAGCATCTTATAGATATCTAAAACATTCTTGATGAGTTCACAGTCCTTAGTGTCACTCGCAATCTGAATGACATATTTAAGTTGAGACTCTATCGATTTAACATATTTCTTAATAGGCCCACTATGCTCTCCAGAATTCATAAAAAGCCAAGTGACAATATTCCTAAATCCTTTGATCAGAGTTTGTCTTATCTCTGGGTTAGTCTTTGATTCAAGAAAAGCCTTTTCGAGAATAAGTTCTCCTTGGTCATTGATAGATTTATTAATCAACAAGAGTTGGGGAATGATCTTTGCTTTCTTAAAAGTAATCTCACAAGATCCAATTACTCCTCCAAAGTAGCTATAATTCAGGTGCTTTACCAAGTATGAACTTGAGTTATAGAACATAGAAGTGATCAGGTGGATATCACTAATTCTCATAGTAATCTTTATATCTGTATTGTTCTGAATCTTTTTGTCAATATCAGACTCATTTAGCAGCACGTGTAGCCATTTATCACAGAGAGTATATACAACAGCTTCATGGTTCTTTCCAATACTTTGGTTTAAGAATTCAAACAGGAGAGTTCAGAGGAATTCGTGGTCAGTATCAATCTTAAATTTAGAGTCTGCCAAATATGAGATTTCTTGAAGTTCTATAGAAGAATTAAGCAGTGTTGAAACTAGCTTCTTAAGAATATTGTCTTTCTCTGTCTTGTCTGTATCTACTCATGAAAGTATTTCGAAAACAAGAGACCATAGAGTAGTTAGATGAATATTCGAATAACATCCCTGAAGATCATGGCCAATATCCTGTTCAGGTATGAAGTAACTTTGTAGAAGAGATACAAGTCCAGTCACAATACTGAAATCTGGAGAAATAGTACTGATTGCCAACAACTCTTCATCAATAGAGAGAATATCTTTCTTTTTATCCAAATAAGTTCTTAACTTCCTCAGATTATCATAACTGTTAAGATAGAATTCTATAGAGAATAATAAGTTCTGAATCCATGATTCCTCTTTCCTATAATGTTCTTTTATGATCTCATCATTCAATAGCATTTGTATAATCTTCTTCCAAAATTTAAAAAGGTTTTCAAGCATTAGCAATTTTTGGGCTCCATGGTTCCTCAAATGTTCGATTTCCTCTGGCTTCATTTTCTTTAATTCCTCATTTGAAATATTGAAATGTTCAATGCTCACTAGCAATGTAAAGATTTCAGACAACTTCTTATTCAAATCCTTGTTGTCAATCAAGAACACAGTAAGAGTATGTGCAGTAATAAAGGATTCCTTCTTTGATAATTCCAGGTGATCTTCAATGTCAGTCATTGTTAACAATTGGTGCTGGTAATTTACTATCAACTTCATAATGGAGAAATCCATCATCTTTGAGCTTTGCTTCCCATGGCCTGTTAAAGAAACATTGTCAATTAGCCAACTAGCAATCAAGTTAATCTTGCTCAAACTCTGGCTCACATTTTGATTGTGATGAGACTTCAGATTATTCAATACTAGAACTGTCATAAGCAATCTCTTTGTGCTAACTGATTCTTTCTGAACCGAAGAGCCATCCTTCACTAATGTGTTTAGCACCTTCTGGACATCATTTGTAAGCTTTATATCTTCCTGGTCAGGATAAAGTTTCTCAATAGCATAAGAAATAACCTTGTCGTAAGAATAAGGTAAATTCTCAAGGCTTTCTATAACTCTTGATTTCGAGTAGATTGAGTCTGAGTTTAGGATGAAGTTGTTTAGAACTTTTATGACCAGTCTGTCCAAAACACTTTGATCTTCAATACTAGGCAATAACACTGTGTTTATCAGCATCCAAACCTCATTAGTGTTTATATTATGAACACTGGAGCTAACATTTGATGTCTGGGAGTCCTTGAGTACGTAATTTACAAATAACTCATAGATAATATCTTCAAGAGGATATTCTTTTAAACTTATAGCTTTAGGATCTGACTTGTAAATCGAAATCAAAAGCTGACTGAACTTAGTAGAAAGGCATTTTTGAAATTCTAAAGAATGAATGATTTCTCCACTCTCTATATTCTCAACTGGAATTTTGTTCTTTATTCCTTCAATCTTTTCAATAACTTTGTCAACAGTAGCCAAAATCTTTGTCTGTTCTTTCTTAGTACTATTGTTTGCCTTCCACAGAAGATCTCGCAGTTCAAGTTGGCAACCTGAGAGCTCTTTGAGCATTTCCTCATAGTCAAGATTCTGCTGCATCTTAGTTGGTTCTGTATTCATAGCACTCATGTTGTCTGCAGGGTTTCATTTTAAGATTTTCTCAGATTTGTTCTCCAATGTGCAAAGAGTGAATGAAGTAGAGTGCCCAATTTTTAAGTTTTCTTGTGATAAAATTTGGGGGAGATCTGAGCTTCCAGCTGGATCTTCTTCAGTCTTCCTAAACTCTCCATAAATTTCTGGCAAGACGTGTTCAACGACTGATTGCTGATTTGAGTTTGTTTGGAAGGAGTCAAAGAAGCTAATATGAATTTTCAATTTTCTTCCAATATAGCCAAGGTTGTTAATGGACAAAGCCTCTCTTTCTTCATTCCTATCATAGAGATTATATTCATTTATATGGCAATTATTAGTCAGATATCAATACACAGACTCATCATAAGAATTGGAGAAAAGCAGATTCTCTTTTTCTTCATTTAGCCCATAAATCTTGAGGTCCATTCTGAAAGCCTTGTTTGAAGTAACTCCAAAGAGAATTCTAATATCATTAATAAGAGCCTTAACTGGGAATTCAATAATATATTCCTTAAATTTGGCTCCTGAGAAATATTTTGCTTCATAAGGAAGGGGATTCCCTTGCTTCTCAAAATTCTCAGTATCCTTGTCTACTTTGGTCTTTGTTTGAACACTTTCACTATGATTGCTGAAATTTCAGGCATCAAAGGGATAATTCTTATAATTTGTCAATTTTCTCAAGATTGTATATTCAGAAGTCTGCAGCTTAGAAATTGCTACTTGTCAAACATTGTAGTAGAGACTTTCAAAAGTAACTTTGAAAATTTTATCCTTGCAATTCATCATCTGGTATCCAATCAAACTCATAAATGCTTCTAGACTTGGATATGTCATCAGGATTTTATTCATTTGAGAGATATTCTTGATCACAAATTCAGAAATCTTTTCGCTAAGGTCTTCGTATTCATAGAATTTTCTAAATAAGCCAAGAATATATCTGCAGCCTCTAGAGTCTTGCTTGTAAAGAAGGTTGATAAATTTCTCAAGTTCCAAGCTTTCAAAAATTAGAGGAATCATCTTCGGGTTTAAGGAGATAATCAGGTCGAGTGTTCTCATCGCCCTTTGCTTTATACTAAAGTCAATTGAATCATTGGTAAGACACAAAACAATCTCTTTATTGATTCAGTTGAAGTATTTGAGATCTAGGATTCATGATCGCAAGAACTTGACTGGTATATTACTGAATATGCCCTTGCGGTGGTCTTCATTATTTGCTAGAGCTTTAGGAGAGAGTTGCAATGATCTCAACTTCCAAATATCAGGGCTCTTCACTACAACTCGAAGTTTGTCAATCATACTCATCTGAATTTTGCTATTGGTAATGCTGGATCTGTAAATTCCTGTGATAGAGCTACTTGATATCCAAGTCAATATCTTGTCCAAATTTGAAGAAGGAATGTTAATAGACATCCCCATTGCCATGACTTCGTGAATATTGATTCCTGTCTTTTCTTCGTGTATAGTTTCCCATTCTCCGGTCTTTTCATTATGAATTTCAATTCTGTATTCAGATTTGGTATTACAAACACTTTCTACTGTTGAGTTTGGTGTTAAAAGATCAGAGCTTGATCCAGGCTCAACTTTACTCTCTAATTCTTCTCCAATAACCCCAAAGAACTTGAACTCAATAGGATAAGTGGGGAACTTCTTCTGGGGGAAAGTATCATTTTTCACTTTTTTAAACTCTGTAGGTACAAGCTTTATGTATTTTCATGGGACTTTTGAAGCTTTCTTATCAACAATTTTAGTTGTCTTGCCAAAATCAAAGTATCCTACTGGCTCATAAGGCTGCAAAGGTCTTGGGTCATACATTCTCTTGTCCTTCCATTCAACATAATCTTTCAAAGTAAATGAATGGAATGGATCTGTATTCTCTAACCCAGCAAGGGTATCACTGATGAATAATATTCCAGCTCCTACTGGATATGCTCCAATCTGTGAAGAGTTCTCTGACATTACAGTGAACTGATCAATAATGAATCTCTTTCCAAATTGGTGACAAAAAATAAAATGAGAGCCAGCATAGTTAGCGGCAAATACTCTTTTATCATCTGATACTAGCTTTGAGACCTGGCTGTTTGCATTAAAGGCACAACCCACATATGAGTGAACTACAAGAGGGATACAATTTTCGTCTCCAAAATCAATTACATCTTTCTTTGAAGTTTCACCAGGAGGAATATATTTATCACTTTTAACTTCTTCTTGATCTACAGCCTTTTCATCTTTCTTTATTTCCATCTTTTGCTTCTTTGGGAGCAGCTTTCTCAATTCATGAGGGTTTGCATCAAAAGTAAGATCTAATTTTAAAGAGAACAGAGATAGAGGCCTTTCAAATTTAATCTCTCATGTATATTCAGATTCAGATTCATTTTCTTCTCCATGAGGATTTATCAAACATGGAGGCTTATGCAAAGTCTGACCTTGAATTAGACTTTCATACATGTCAAAATCTTCTCAGTTTTTGAGGTCACTAATGCTGATAAGAGGCTTGGATAGCTTGTCATTTAGAGTATTTTCATCCAATTCATGATTATTTCTTTCTTTTTCCTTTACTTCTTCTTTTTGTTTCTCTCAGACAATGCTGATATCTTCATTTACATGCTCTCCTTTCAAGTTGATCTTCAATTGAAGTGTTTTCAGGTATTTAGATATCTCATTTAATTTTTGCTGCCTATTCAAGAAATGAAGACTCTTTCATAAGTTCCTAAAATTCTTAGTATTTTCATTCTTCTGAATTCCTTCATATTTAGTCATTGAAACTTCATAGTCTCCAGTCGTTTCAACTTCTTTAATGAGCTCTAAGGTGTTTTCCTTGGCATATTTATAGACTAAAAATTGGGTTTCTGATTTCACAAATAAGTTATTCCCTAATTCTGATCTAATAGAGAAGTGGCTCTCCGAGATTTTAAGGTTAATCACTTCATGTACCTAACAATGAGCAAGATTATGCTTACCTTAACATTATTGTGAGAAATCTCTACTGGAACTAAGATCGGTGTCTCTGCCATCCCATATATTCCTAGAAGACTAGAAGACTCATTTGTGTAGTAATCTCTGATATTCACAATTCCATAAACTTCTTTGAACATGTCCAGATCAATTTTCCTATTGCTCGTCTCAGTAAAAATAAATGATGGATATTGATTCTTCTCTAGTTTCCAGTTCCTCTTTGTCTGATATCCCACGAACAGAGGGAGAAGAGTATTCACAGAAAATCTGCATTGGTTCAAAATATGGTCTAATACTTCATCGCTTGGGTCTTCAGAAATTGGGCTTTCTCTTGCAACCTCATAGGAGTCTATCAAAGAAATCTCACTTGCACTTTTCTGCTTGATAAGTTTCTTTAGATATTGATCGTAGTAAGATACTGTTTTGACCTCCAATGTAAACTTGTCTTCATTATGAGTGACTCCAGATACAATAATTGGAGATTGAGTCCCTTCCAGGGATGTAGACATTCATACTCCAATTAGTGCATTCTCCTTGACCTTTTCTTCTTCTTGATCAATTTCTTGTATTTTAGATGATATTTCGTTCTTCTCATTTACCTTTTTATCCATAAAAACTTTCTTTTCTTGGATTTTCTCAGCAAGATCATTATCAGATTCTTTAATTTCTGTTGGGTGCTCTTCTTCCTCATCTTTTGGTGAGGCTTTATTGGTGATAGTATTGGTAATCTTCTTCAACATAGTTTGGAGACTAGACTCCTGATTCTGCATTTGATTACTTTGTATAGTAATAACTTTGTCAACAGCTAGCTCTACACTTTCGTTGTTTACAGCCTTCAATGCAGCTATAGAGTCTTCTTTTGAGAATCCCATATTCAGCAAATCATCTAGAAAAGCCTTTTTAGGCATAAATTCTTTCTTCTTTTTAGCAAAGCCTTTCTTTGAAACACTTCCTTGAGATTTATCCTTAGACTTAGATTTGCTCTTTGCCTTCTTTGAATCAGTTTCTTTCTTCAAAAATGGATTTTTAGTCTCATGAAAAATACCTGATTCTTTGCTTGGATCAAAAGCTAGTGGCACTTCTTTCTCTTCTTCAGGAGGATTATATTTCTCAATTTCAATGTCACTATCTTCATCAAAGCTTGCAAATGGAATCCTTGTCTTTTCCTTCTCTTCCTCATCATGCTCTCTAATTATATCTTCATACACTTTTTCAGGTGTTTTCTCATCAGGTGGGCTAGGTGATAATTTCAAAATTTGATCATCCAAATCTTGAATTTCCTTCTGTAAAGTCTTTGCCTTATCTTGAAGCTTTAGTTTCTGAAGAATCTTAGACCTTGGAAGCATCTTAAAATTCACTCTTCCTACTCAGAACAAGTGTAGCTCTGAATTCCAAAGGCATACACTGCCATCATTGATGTTAAATGTAGCCAAGAACTCACTAAATGATGGTGTACATACCCCTGAGATACATGACTGCTCGAAGTTAGGATAGTCCATGCTATCGGTTTCCCTAGTATGCTTTAGGAGAGGGAAATAATTTAGTGTTTTGTACAAGGGTACATTAATGTTATGATACTTCAGATCCAAAGTGTCACACAAAGTGTCTGGTTTAACCAAATCATCTTCTGCAAGACAATCATCCTTTAGATAGTTCTTGAGAGTTACATGAGAGTCACTTGTATTCATATATCCTTCTTCACAGAGATTTAGAATATGCTCTGGGTTACTGGTCCAAGAGATAAAACTAGCTAGTCTTCCATAGGCAGTGTGAGCTCTTGATGAAGCTCTCTCTATTGCTTCAGAATTTACATGCTCACTCTCAGTTCTTGTCCATAGCCAAATTTGCTCTTGAAGATCAAGAATGATGGAAATGAGCTTTAAGACTTGAAGATTGGAGGGATATTGCTCATAAAAGAAATCATTCTTTACTTGAAAATCATTTCCAGGGTTCTCTAGAACTGAAGATACTCCATTAATAATGGCATTTTCTCTCATATTTAAGAAGTCTCGTGCCAGTCTGTTATAGCTATCAGCAGCAGAAGATAATAAACTATCAGTAATGATTCTAGAAACATGTAGATCAATATCCAGAACTACGAAAGCTTGGCTGTTAATTTCTATTATTTTTGAATTTAGGCATTTATCCAAAAATGTATGCATATATGCTCTCTCATCGGAGCTCTTGAGCTTACTATAAGTATTTCTCCAGTCAGAAATTTTAAACAGACAAATAAAATCTTCCTTGCTTAAGACTAGCTTTGGTGTTTCTTTGTAGTACTCAAACTGAATAAAAGCTCTGGGGTCTATCTCATCATATTCATTCTTTGCGGCAATTTTGATCTTCGATCCAGAAAAAGCCAGAACCTTATCTGAATATTCTAAAGGAGTTAATCTTAAAGTATCTTTCACAGTCAGTTTCTCGAAGTCTGAGCAAGACTTCACTTTTGTATAAATCTGCACTATTTTCTCATAATTCTGATCAAATTCTAATGAGGAAAGTTCTAGAGAATTTGAACCTTTTTGAATATCCTCTTTTGGGTTCTTTTCTTCAAAGGATTTAATGACTTGTGCACTTCCTTCATCTGGGACTTCATCTCCGCCGGTATCTCCTCAGATAACTTGACTTTCATCTTTTTGAACTTCCAGATTTTTCAAATTTACTTCTGCAGGGATGTTGTGATCGTATAAGTTCACTAGATAATTCCTTTCTTGAGTTGAAAGAAGTAATTTGCTGGGGAAAGAGTCATCTTTACAGCCAGTGAAAGGATTTAAAATGACTGTATTTCCTAAGTTTTTCATCTTCACCAACATTAGATATTCACCTTTAGGGACACTTCAGTTTCTTTTTGGCTGGGGTCTTCCATTTAGCCAGAAATTAAGAGTTCTATTCTCTAAATCCAACTTAACTCCCACGACTCTTGGGGTTGTGGTTCTAAAAGAAACACATATCTTCTCTCATGTTTCCTTGTTCTTAACTCCAAACTCAATACCTCCACATGACAAGGGTCAGATGATTTCCCAATAATGGACTCCTCTCTTTAATGTTACATTTGAGTAAAAGTGGCTAAACTTTTCTGTGCCCTTGTTAATTCATTTGGCTGTCAGCCCTGAGGGAGAGATATCTTCATCACTAATGGCTCTTCAAAACCTCATAGTTTCAGGTAGAAGGTAATAAGGTTTCTCTTCTTCTGCATTTTCAATCCTAAATTTCTTGCCAAGCATCTCATCCTTCTTTGCTTTCTCAAGCAAGGAGTCAATCTTATCCATGGCGGATAATTTCTTCTCAGTCCTTACTTTAGTCTTTTTAATAGGTTCCTCTTCTAAATATTTTGATTCGTTCAAGTAATAGAGGATCTTCTTGGTAGAGTCAAAATCAAACAACTTTGGTTGCACAGAGATTTGCTCTTTCTCTTGATTCGTCTCAGTAATATCCATCTCTTTTTCCATATTTATAAATTAAATATATTAATAGTTGCATCACTCCATTTTTGGTTGATTCTAAGGGGTTTTGGGGTTTTGGGGTTTTGGGGTTTTGGGGTTTTGGGG